ATGGCCTTGCCACAATCCCTGTTCCTCCATTCACCTCCTAGGATTTTGAGCACACACACATATGTACGTTGTGTGATTTTCTTTCTTTTTTTTTTTTTTTAAAGATTTATTTTAACTTTATTTATTATAATTATTTTCTAATTTGATGAGAGGAAATAGGCAAAGTGAGAAAGGAAGCCACCAGGTCCAGGACTTGAACCACAGCTGCCCATGTGAGGGAGTCCAGTGGTTTTAATCATCATGCCACCTGCTGCCCCCTGCTGTGATTTTCAAGCCACCTGGTCTGGGACTTAAACTCTGGTGGGCCATGTGGGAGTCCAACACCTTAACCTCTATGCCCCCTGGTGGCCCCTCTTTAAAGGCAGAGAAGCAAATGTAGATTGAACATCAGAATTCTGGGAAAGATCAGTTGCTTCAGTAGGTAAATTTGGGCCAGTGTCAAAATTTCAGGTTATATGAATTTATATGAGTGTTTAAAACAAACAAACAAAAATGATGGGATTATGCAGTCTGCTTTTTCATAGAGACCTAGGAAGTTCCAGAGAATTACCTACTGGATCCCTGGGCACACGCTGCTTTTGTTGGTCAGGGTGTCACACCTTCGTCCCTCTTCCCTGTCGGTGACTGCTTCCTTTTGGTCCTGCCAGGCATCTTTTCTGTCCGATCAGCCTGAGCCCTACCTGCCCTTTCTCTCAAGATTCCTGGAGACCCAGATGTTTGCTTCTTTTATTGACAACAAAATCATGTGTCATGATGATGATGATAAAGACCCTGTGCTCCGGGTGTTTGATTCCCGAGTAGACAAGATCAGGCTGTTGAATGTTCGAACGCCTACTCTCCGCACATCCATGTACCAAAAGTGTACTACTGTGGATGAAGCAGGTAAGGCCTCTGGAGCTGTGCAGTCTAACCTCGTGGATTATGTCACTAACATGTTTCTGTTCCTGAACATGCTAGTTTCTTTCTCAGTTTCTGCCTTTGTATATTGCCTGCAGTGCTTTTCCTTGTTTTTTGTTTTGCTTGGCAAGCCTTTTCTCATCATTTAACACTGTGTCAGTTCGGAATGGTCCCCTCTGTAAGTAATAGAGAACCTAATTAACAGAGGGTTAAACAAATATGGTTGTTTTTCTCAAATTAGCAAGAAGTACATAGTGATAGTTGGCAGTATGGCTCAGCTGCTCAACAGTATATCAGGAACTGAGATTCTGTTAATATCTTTTTATTCTACTATCCTTAGTTATTCATATTTTTGCCTCATGATTGCCACAGTCTTTTTATATTCACATTGAAGGCAAAAAGAGTGGAAGGTTGAGGCACACTGTATTTTCCCCCTTCTATGAGAAGCTGCAGCTTTCCCAGAAATTCCTAACAACTTATGTCTCATAGGCCAGAATCATATTATGTCCAATATATCCCCTCCTCTGTGAAGCCTCTACTGCCTGCAGGATGAGCTGGTTGATTGTTCCTCTGTGCTCCTGTGGTGGTTGCTTTGCCTCCACTCTAGAACCTCTATTCCTTTCAACTGTCAATCAGGAAACAAGGGGAGAGACTCATACTGACTCAGACTCTTTATGCTCAGTCCTTTAGCATCCTGCTTGACATATATAAATGTTACAGGTTTTGCCTACATGAATGATTGAACATTCCTTTTTGTTCTCAGAGACCCTATCTAGTATAGATCACTTTAGCTAGAAAATGGTCTTAGCTGAAAGTGTTAGGTAAAGTAAGGTATTCATTTCCTTGAGGGGAATCTATATCCTTGTTATAGCCTTTTTATATGCCTTGTTCTCTTACCAAAAATTATAACCACTTAACTACACGCCCAACATATGGTAAATATGCAACAAATGCTTGCCGAATGAGTGAATATGCCAAGCATTTTTCTAGTTTTTGGCCAGGTCCTACCTTCATCAATCTTGTATTTTCTAGCTTTCTCTACCTTTTAGTTCCTGTTCCAGGACTTTTATTAAGATGGCTATCCTCTTAGCTAAGGCATGAGGACACATTGCCTGTGCAAGTAGACTACTCTAATACTGTCATCTTTGTCTTCTGGAACATATTAGTCCTTGGATTCCTGAATCCTGCTTAAGGCTTTGGACCTGGGCAGCTTGATAGAGATTTATATAGGATTGTGGGTTTCAGAGAACCATCTCCCAACCCATCATTTAAGTCAGGACCTTTTTAGGTTGTAGTACCCTCAAAAATGACATTATTTGTTTATAACACAGTGAAGTAAAGGTAGCAGTCTGCTTATAGCTAGAGACTGAAGCCAGAGGCTGCAGTCATCTGCTATAAGGATTGAGGCAGTCAGTTTTCAGGCCTGAAATCCATTTGTTGAACACCATGTACCACAACACACTGATCTGAATTATTCTGGTCTCTGCTGTGGCTGGAACATGTAGTCTCCTGGGCCTTTTAGACTGTGTCACTTGGAAGGGAAGGTTAACTCATCTTTCTTGGTATGGTTCATTTCAGAAAAAGGAATGTCACAGAGACCCTGCAGGCAACCATATGCTTTACTCCCAGGGAATCATGAGAATATCTTTGCTACTGGTAATATCCCTTAGGCATCAGAGATAGGCACTTCAAATATACTATAGCAAGGTTCTTGCCACTGTCCTCAGATCCCTAACCTGGAGGAATTTGTTATCTCATTCCATCCCACATGGGCATCTGAGCTTTTCGAACAAGTATGACTGTCAAATGCTAAAAATACAACTAAAGTGTTCTATTTTTAAAGAATTATTAACTTAGCCAATTATTTTTAAATTTGTTATAGGACATGTGTGTTCACCAAAGAGAGAGAGAGAGAGAGAGAGAAAGAGAGAGAAAGAGAGAGAGAAAGCTGTCTGGGACTGAAACTGGTCGGCAACGTGAGGGTCCAGCCCCTCAACTGCCATGGCACCTGCTGGCCCCAACTAAAGAGATCTTATAGGAGATCCTTTAAAATATTATAGTCATTGGACTCCCACATGGCTGAACATAGTTCGAGTCCTGGACCTGGTGGAATTATTTTATCAATTCCATTTGTTATTACTATTTCCTCAATCTCACCAGAGAAAGGGAAAACAAGAAAGCAAGCAAGCGAGTAAGCCACCAGGTCTGGGATTTGAACTGTGGTGGGCCATGTGGGAATCTAGCACCTTTAGCCACCATGCCACTTGCTGACCCCTAAATAAAATAATTCTTAAAAACCGTATTAAAATTAAAAGAAGGGATATTGATGGCAATCAACTCCACCTACCCACTGATTTTTTATTTTTAGACAAAGATGTTCTTTTGGTTTTTATTGTATCTACAGGACTTTGAATAGTGCCTGGCACATTTTGGACATTTTTATTTTTTTCTGAGGGAGTTTTGTGATAGGATATGTGTGCTCACTGGAGAGACAGAGAAAAAGAAAGCAAGAAATCACCCCCTGGGGGGGGATGATGACCCCACAATCCCTTTTCCATTCTCTTCATGAGATTTTGAGCATGCATGTACACGTGACCGGCGTGAGTTTCAAGCTGCTGGGTCTGGGACTCCAGCTGTGGTTGGCCATATGGGAGTCCAACACCTTAACCACTGTGCCACCTGCTGGCCCCTTTATATAAGAACTTTAAAAAACTAGGACCAGCAGGAGGTATGGAAGTTAAGGCAGCTGAATTCCACGTGACCGACTGAGCAGTTCATATGCCAGACCCAGTGACTTGAAAAATATGCCAGGTTCATGTATGTGCCTGCCCAAAATCCTGAGGAGGACAGAGGAGAAGGGATGGCAGTGTTGCCATCTCACCTGGGGGCTGATTTCTGATTCCCTCTCTGTAGCTCTTTCTCTCTGTCTGTCTCTGGTAAGTACACATGCTTTATAGCAAACTAAAACAAAACAAAATGAAACAAAAAACTATTTCCATTTTTAACTTCCTGACTTACATGCTATTGTTATCATTTATTTTATATATTTTTAAAGTTTATTCATGGGGCTGGTAGGTGGCATAGTGGTTGGGGGCACTGGATTCCCACATGGCTGACCACAGTTCAAGTCCTGGACCTGGCAGCTTGGTTTCCCTTTCTTTCTTTCTCTGTCTCTCTCTTGTCAAATTAAAAAATAATAATAACAAATGGAATTAAAGAAAGAAAAATTTATCTTTTAAAAAGTTTATTCTTTTTCTTTTTGAGAGTTTTTTTTTTTTGCTATAGGACACGTACACTCGCCAGAAAGACAGAGAGAGAGAGAGAGACAGAGACAGAAAGAGAGAAATCACTCTTCAGGGGGACACAGTCCCTTCTTCTCCATTCTCCTCTCAGGATTTGGGAACGCATGCACATGTGCCTTGTGTGAGCTAAGCCACCGGGTCTGGAACTTGAACCGTGGTCGACATGGGAGTCCAGTGACATAGCCATTACGCTAACTGCTGGTCCCTATTTATTATTTTTATAAGAGAAAAAGACTGAGACCAAGAGACAGGCGTTCCCAACAGGGTCTTCATCTGGTGCTCCATCACCAGCTTTACCCATCCCAGATCACAGGCACAAATGCATGCCCAGTTTGTTGAGAGAGGCTTCTGAATGAGTCCTAGGCTTTCACTTGAGGGTTCAGCATTGCAGAGTATTGTGTGACTGCCATGCCACAGGCTGGTCCCATTTATTTTACTTTTGGCAATATGTTATAAACCTCATATTACATTGCTATTTTTGTCTAAATAGTCACTTACCTTTTAAAGAGATTTAAATAATAACAAAATTTAATGTATTTACCTATATATTTGCCATTTCTGGTGGTATTTTTTTCTTTTGTATAGATCCATATTTTCATCTTTTATCATTTTCCTATTACCAGAAAGACATCCATTAACATTTCCTGGGGTGTAAATCTGCTGGCAATGAATTTTTTCAATTTTGTAATTTTTTTTAAATAATTATTTATTTAATTTTATTATCATTATTCATTCATTTGATCAGAGAGAGAGTCAAAAAGAGAGAGAAAGAATGCAAACCTCCAGGTCTGGGACTTGAACCATGGTCGGCCATTTGGGTGTCCATCACCTTAACCACCATGGCATTTGCCAGCCCCTCAGCTTTGTGATTCTTAAAATGTCTATTTTGCCTTTGTCTTTCAAAGATATTTTCATTGAGTAGAGATTTATTTTAGTCTTTAAAAGATGCCTCTTCACTTTCTTGTTACTTGCATGGTTTTGTTAAGAAATCTGCTGTCGAAAGAGAGACGGATTTGTAAACCCTGAGCGAGCTCCTGCCTACCCAAGGCAGCTGCTGTGCGGAGACCACCCCCCGGGTGAAGCCACTGCCACTATGTCTGACCAGGAGGCAATACCCTCAACTGAAGACTTGGGGGATAAGAAGGAAGGAGAATACATTAAATTCAAAGTCACTGGACAAGGTAGTAGTGAGATTCACTTCAAAGTGAAAATGACAACACACCTCAAGAAACTCAAAGAATCATACTGTCAAAGACAGGGAGTTCCAATAAATTCACTCAGGTTTCTCTTTGAAGGTCAGAGAATTACTGATAATCATACTCCAAAAGAACTGGGAATGGAAGAGGAAGATGTGATTGAAGTTTATCAGGAACAAACGGGGGGATCATTCAATGGTTTAGATTTTCTTTTTATTATTTTTTCTTTTCCCTCAATTCTTTTTTATTTTTAAAAATAGTTCTTTTGTAATGTGGTGTTCAAAATGGAGTTGAAAAACTGGCTCCCCATCTCTTTAAAACAACTGGTAATTTGAATCCTAGGGTTCATTATTTGTTATCGTTTGTTTCATTGTGCAATGCCTCAGCTCCCTTCATAGTGCCCTCTCCTTTATAAAAGTTACACATGTGGGGAACCAGCAGTTAGCGTAATGGCTATGTCGCTGGACTCCCACGTAGTCGACCGCGGTTCGCGTCCCAGACCTGGTGGCTGATTTTTAAAAATAGTTCTTTTGTAATGTGGTGTTCAAAATGGAGTTGAAAACTGGCTCCCCATCTCTTTAAAACATCTGGTAATTTGAATCCTAGTGTTCATTATTTGTTATCGTTTGTTTCATTGTGCTGATGCCTCAGCTCCCTTCATAGTGCCCTCTCCTTTATAAAAGTTACACGTGTGCACAGAGAGGACACCTGTTTCAGGACTCTGCATTTTCAGGCTTGTGGCGGTAACTAAGATTGGCCAGTACGAGTGTTCATAGTGACTTTCGAATTGGCCTTGAAGTTCCAGCATGTGATTGCTTCGCTCCTGGACTATGACTTTCAGTAGGAGATAGAAGTTTTTCAGAGAACTGAACTGTGGAAAAATGACCTTTCCTTAACTTGAAGCTATTTTTAAAATCTGAGGGTCTGGACCAAAAGAAGAAAAATATTAGATCGGAATCAAGATGACAGATATGGTGAGAGCTCACTAACTCCAAAGATGGCTTCACTGAAGAGAACCATTTTAAGATTTAAATAACCTTGTCAGAAGATCCCAGAAAAGTTCTAATTTCCATTAGCAGTTAATAAAGTTATTCATGCGGAAGTGTATATAATAGAACACTGCTCTTTTTGATTTTATTTGTACTTTTTGGCCTGGGATATAGGTTTTAAATGGACATTGTCTGTACCAGCTTCATTAAAATAAACAATATTTGTAAAAATCGTAAAAAAAAAGAAATCTGCTGTGATCCTTAGTTTTCTTTCTCTGTTATGCAAAATGTCTACTTTCTCTAGCTGATTTTAAGATTTTCTTTTTATCATGATTTTGATCAATTGATTATGGTGTGCCTTGGTGTAGTTTATTCATGGTTCTTGTGCTTGGAGTTCATTGTGCTTCTTGTTTACATCAAATTTGAAAAAATTTTGGCCAGTATTTCTTCCAATAATTTTTCTGTTTTCCCCATCCCCACCAGAGAGACTCCAGTTACACACACATATATGCAATTACATGTTGTAGTATGAGTGATATCTGAGATTGCTTAAAGTTGTCCAAGAGTCCACTGATATTCTTGATTAATTTTTTTCTCTATGATTTATTGGGATTGTTTCTGTTGCCATAGTTTCAAGCTCATGTATCTTTTCTTCTCACTTACATATAATTTTGCTTTTACTCCACGCAGTGTAGTTTTCATTTCAGGTATTTTAGTTTATATCTCTAGAAAGTTGGTTACCTTTTTTACATCCTCTGTGTCTCTAGTTAATTTTTAAACAGATTTAATTTTTTAAAATTTATTTTACTTTATTTATTTATTTTAATTTGACCAGAGAGGGACAGAGAGAGAGAGAAAGAGAAAGAAAGAGAGAAAGCAAGCACCAGGTCTGGGACTTGAACTTGTGGTAGACCAGTGCCCCTAACTACCATGCTACCTGCCAATCCCTTTAAACAGATTTTAATACAGTTATAGTAGTTATAATAACTGTTAATATTCTTTTTTTAAAGAAACATTTTTGCTATAGGGTGTGCGTACTCGCCAGAGAGACAGACAGAAAGAAATACTGTTCCTTCTAGTTCTTTTAGATGATTCTTTCTCCAGCTCTCAGTAGTTTTTATACTTGCATGAGCTCATCAGTAACCCTGCTGAATACTCAGGGAAAACCCTGTGCAACTTTTATAAAAATGTTTGATTTCATTTTTTTTCTTGTTCTCATCCAGAGAAAGCAATCGAGCTACGTCTGGCAAAAATTGACCATACAGCAATTCACCCACATTTACTTGACATGAAGATTGGACAAGGGAAATATGAACCAGGCTTCTTTCCTAAGCTGCAATCTGATGTACTTTCTACTGGGCCAGCCAGCAATAAGTGAGTCAACCCCAGGGATTCCCCGATCCAACTCTATAGCCACAGTAGTGAGGGTCATTCCATATTGTGTGGAGCTGTTGTCCCCAGAAGATCCCAAACTTCCATAAAGCAAATGTGGAGAAGACTATCTACGTTGTTCACTTGTTTGAATAAGACAACAGATGACAGAGCTGTTAGCTCCTGTCTTTACTGCAACTTAGGGTAGCTCCACATGCCCAGGACCTGCAGAAAACCAGACTGCAGGTGGGCTAAAGTTATCTTATGCCTGGATCCCATGCAAACTTATACTGGCTCTTCAAATAGCTATGCTGAAATTAATATAGCCTGAACTGGAAGTAGATAACATAGCAAGATTGCTCTTAAGTTACTTTTGAGGATAAGTATATCAAAGCCCAGACACAGTTGAACAAATATCGTTTTGGGTCTATACATGAAGCTTTTATAATTATTTCAAGAGAACTATGTTTATATTCCCTTGGGAGTTATATCTCTCTTGTCCAATTATTGAACTTTATACTAGACTTCTTCAGGGTCTCTGAAGTGTCTCTGGTGGGTTTTTGAAGATTTTTTATGCCCGTCATTGGCCCCTAGACATTCAGATTTTCTCCTGTCAGTTGACCCTTTTTTTTTTTTTTCTTTTAAGAGAGAGATTTTGCTATAGGGCATGTGCACTCACTAGAGAGGCAGAGACAGACAGATTGAAAGCGAGAAATCATGCCCTGGGGAGATGGTCACACTGCAGTCTCCTCTCCTCCCTTCTCCTCTTGGGATTTTGGGCACACACATAAACATACCTCGTGTAAATTTTAAGCAGCTGGGTCTGGAACTCGAATTGTGGTCAACCACGTGGGAGTCCAGTGACATAACCATTACACCATCTGTTGGTCCCAGTTACCCTTACTTTTTTTTTTTTTTAAAGAATTATTTTATTTAACTTTATGTATTTATTTAATTTGACCAGAGAAAGACAGTGAGAGTGAGAGAGAAAGTGAGAAAGCAAGCTGCCAGGTCCGGAACTCAAAACACAGTTGGCCATGTGGGAGTCCAACGCCTTTAACCACCATGCCATCTGCCAGCCCCTGACTTTACTTTTTTAATGGGATGTTTTAATGGCCTGTTTTGATTCTGTCAGGTGGACCAAAAGGAATGCCCCTGCCCAGTGGAGGCGGAAGGACCGGCAGAAACAACATACAGAACACCTGCGTTTAGACAATGACCAGAGAGAGGTAATACATCCTAAAAATGACAAGGAATGACCCCATTACCATTCTACACACTCTTACTACATGGGACATAGCCATTATGCCAACTGCTTGCCAACGTCCCAGCAGTGACCTCTTCTTTTTTTTTTAGAGAGTTTTCTTTGCTATAGGGCATGTGCACTCACCAGACAGACAGAGAGAGACAGAGAGACGGAAAGCAAGAAATCACCCCTCAGTAGGGACGGCCACGTTGCAATCCCTTCTCCATTTTCCCCTCGGGATCTTGGGCACACATGCATGCACACGTGCCTGGCATGAGTTTAAGCCACCAGGTCCAGGACTTGAACTGCAGTCGACTACATGGGACATAGCCATTATGCCAACTGCTTGCCAACTGCTGGTCCCAGCAGTGACCTCTTCTGATAAAGAAAGACAGTAATAGTTATAGTTCCTGATACCTTGTACTGGCCTAGGTTTTGATAAATCAGGATGCAGGAAGTTTTGCAAGTGTAGCTAGCCACTAACTACATGTAGGTCATTGCCATATTCCCTCACGCATAGTGCTCACTTATTTGCTGATAGATACTGTAGGATAGTCTCATATAGATAGATACTATACTTAAGATAAGAATCTGAAATCTTTAAAACTTGGTGAGCCTTTTTTTTTGTTTGTTTGGTATGGCAAGAAAGAAGTTAATTCTGTTCTGTTAGAGTGAAAAGCTGGATTTAGGGTAATGCAGTGACTGAATCAGTGTTGGGTGGCTTTTTCTATATCTTGATTTAAAATGGTAATCTTGACTTTTTAAAGATAAGGAATATTATTATTGAGTCCTTGTGACTAAAGATATGTAATTTACCTCCTGAATCTTCATTGTTTGTAAGCTTTCTCAGCTCTACCGTAACTTGCCAATACAATTTCTAGTAATAAGCCTCAAATTGGAGAATCTGTCTTAGTTGCAGAGAAGTTGTAAAATAGGGCTTTACCTTCAGAAACCTATTCTTAGGAACTTCCTTTTGAGAAAATACACCCTGTAGTTTTCATCTTATACAGATAGTTGCCAAAAAAGCATATCATTTTCATTGGTACCTCAGGAATAGGAAAATAAATAACATATTTTGCTTTTTTTTAAAGGAATCAATTAAAATAGCAAGCAAGGTATGACTGAATTTGTAACTGCTGATTTATGAGATATTAGTGAGGGCAGTATATGCGGTGTTGCTTGTTGGTTTTATTTAACAAGTTTCCCCGAATCTTCCACCTTACCTCCACATTACTATTTTCACCAGTGTTCATTGAGCACATTTATTGAGCAGTCAAAATCACTTGAGGCATGCACTTTGAAATATGAAGATGACAAGGGAGTAGCAAAGTCAGGTACACAGAGCATTTCAGTGGCAGAATCTTTTGAAATGGCCATGTGAGGGCAAACCAGTGTTTGATCATTGATCAGAGAAAGTAGTTCTGCTTGGGGTAATTGTCAAACAAGATGAACAGAGGAGGAGCCAGCACTTGTTTAATAAACCCTGGAGAATGGTAGGATTGTTAGAAGATATTCAAGGAGAGTTTCTGGCACTGTTAATGTCTGTATTGTGTAAATGAAGCTGTGGCAGCTGGCCCCTCGGTGTAGTTAGGCAGTTTGTAAAGGCAACCCAGAGCCCAGGTAGGGTCAGGGTTTGAATTCTGGCCTTGTCAGTTTCAGGCTGGTACATGCACACATGCCCAGGATCCTGACAGGATAGACCATTGGAAAAAAAAGAATTATGGTGTGACCAGGCCCTTGGGGATACTCTTTTCCT